CTCTTGGGCTTAGGCGATTCTCTTGCCCCAGCCTCCCTAGTAGCTGGGACCACAGGCGCCCACCACAATGCCCAGGTATTTTTGTTGTTGTTGCAATTTGGCTGGGGCAGGGTTTGAACCTGCCACCCTTGGTATATGGGGCCGGCGCCCTACTCATTGAGCCACAGGTGCTGAGCCAATAGCCCCACCCCCCAGCTATTTTTTGGTTGCAGCCATCGTTGTTTGGCAGGCCGGGCTGGATTCGAACCTGTCAGCTCAGGTGTATGTAGCTGGCACAGTAGCCACTTGAGCCACAGGCGCCGAGCCAATTTTCCCATTTCTTATAGAGATGGGGGGTCTCACTATGTTGCTCAGGCTGTTCTTGAAATCCTGGCCTCAAATGATCCCCCTGCCCCTGTTTCCCAAAGTGCTGGGCTTACAGGTATGAGACACTATACCCAGCCCATTTGCCATTCCTAGAAAATTTCCTTTTTCCTCTGCTTTTTGATCCATCTGAGAACCATTCAAACAAAGGAACATCAAACCTTCTAAATACTACTATGATTTTTCTCTAAGAAGCCAGCCTTCAGCTCAAAGAGACCAATTTTTCACAAAGTCAGCCACCCTCAAGCTCAGCCCCCTCGGTGCCCGTTGCTTTGTAACTGCACCACAGTCCACACCCATGTTTGTTTGTTGCTGGCAAACAATAAACAAGAAAAAAGGATCCATGGCACAGTTGTTCAAAATCCTAAAAACTAAAGTGGGAAGCTCATCTAAGAAGAATCATGAACCAACCTGGGTAAGTGAAGGAAAAGGAAAAAGAATTAAATGCTGGGCGGTGCCTGCGGCTCAGTGGGTAGGGTGTGGGCCCCATATACTGAGGGTGATGGGCTCAAACCTGGCCCCAGCTGAACTGCAACAGAAAAATAGCTGGGCAGGGCGACGCCTGTGGCTCAGTAAGTAAGGTGCTGGCCCCATATACCGAGGGTCCCAGCCAAACTGCAACCAAAAAATAGCCAGGTGCTGTGGCGGGCGCCTGTAGTCCCAGCTACTCAGGAGGCTGAAGCAAGAGAATTGCTTAAGCTCAGGAGTTGGAGGTTGCTGTGAGCTGTGTGACGCCACGGCACTCTACCAAGGGCAACAAAGTGAGACTCTGTCGCTACAAAAAAAAAAAATAGCTGGGCGTTATGGCAGGTGCCAGTAGTCCCAGCTACTCCAGAGGCTGAGGCAAGAGAATCACCTAAGCCCAAGAGTTGGAGATCAGTGTGACAGCACGGCACTCTACCGAGGGCAATAAAGTAAGACTCTGTCTCTACAAATAAAAAAAAAGAAAGAAAGAAAGTAAACGCTAAAAGATAACTAAGGAAAGAGAGAAAGAAACTAACAATTACTGAGGTCCTTCCTACTATGTGCTAAGCATTACGCTTTCCACTTTAACTGCATCATTCCATTTAATCCTCACATCAACTCTATGAGAAAATCTAGATTAAAACTACAATTAAACTACCTGCCCAACAGAGTTTGAAAGGGTCAGAGCTGAAATGTGAACTCTGGCTGGCAGGCCCTGAGGCCTAGGCTTTCTCCACTTTATCTCACTCACTTATTTCCATGATTAGTATATAGAAGCTCCCTGATAACTGCTCTATGAAAATCAATTAAATCCACAGGATGATCATAAAGTTAAAGAGTAAACTGAGGGTAAGAGACCAACTCACTTGCCCTAGGGCTAAGAAGAAGTGGATCTGAGATCTGAACCTAGGTCTGATGCCAAAACGCTGATTCTCAAGCAAAACCATCCCACTGCATCTGCTGGACAGCTCTCCTTGAAAGTATTCGGCTAAGTTAGAATGCCCCAACGCAGGGTGAGCAGAGTCGAGGTCTAAAAATTCCCATAGTAGCAAAATTCCCATCTTCCTACACAGAATGGGGCTGGGGGAGCTACAAATCTCTCTATGATGTAAGCTAGGGCCAAGCAAAGAGGCTAGCCAGATCGGCCAGTAGTGAAGCAGCTGACATCATCCCTGCTGAATACATTTTCTGGAGAATAGGAGAATACAGGCTGCCTTGTAGCTGGTGGTAGCTGATGTCTTTTCTGAGCACAGAACCAGCAATTTATTCTCAACACTCTGCAAGAACAACAAAAAACATGCTCTCTGCAAAAACATCGTGGTTACAGGAGACCAAGACAGCCCAGCAACAGAAGCTGTTAATCGTTAATCTCACCAAGCAACCTAAAGATTAGAACGCCAAACTGTGGGCGGCGCCTGTGGCTCAGTGAGTAGGGCACTGGCCCCATATACTAAGGGTGATGGGTTCAAACCTGACCTTGGCCAAACTGCAACAACA